GAAGCACCCCCCACCCCTTAGCCGCGGGGTACCCCAGCGCTGGCAGCAACAAACTTCCCAGGGTCACAGCTCCTGGAGACCCTCCAGCCCCCTGGGGTCCCGGGGATCTGGGGTGGGGTAACTGCGATTCTGCGGCACTCTCTGGGCACATGCACACACACACACACACATACACACAGAGAGAGAGAGAGCAAACTGCACCCCCAGTATCTGAGCACAGCCTGCAGCCCCCCACTCACACGGGGCACGTGGGGGGCATGGGCACCCCCACGGGCAACCCCCACACACACATCCCGCCTGTAATCCCCCACATGCGCGCACACACAGAGCACGCAAGCAGCCTGCAACACCCCCACACGTACACACACGCGACACAGTCTGCAAATTTGTGTGCACAGACCCCGTGCAGCCTGCAAACCCACGGACCTGCACAAACAGCCCCACACACACACTAACACAGCCTGCAACACCCCCCCAGTGTGCAAACACACACACACAGAGCAAAAACACGCAGCACACAGACACAACCCGCAAACCTGCGTGCACACACATCCGCAGAGCCCGCAAACCCCGACACTCGCACACGCACAAAGCTTGAAAACAGGCTGCAAGCCCGCACATCGTGGGGGCACGCGCAGCTTGCAGCCCCACAAACTTATCACGCGTGTGTGCACACACACCCTATGCAAACACACCTCTTGAGCAAACATAACCTGCACGCCTGCACAGAGCTCACACACAAGCACACGCAGATACGGCGTGCACCCGCTCCGTCCTGCACACACAGTGCCCCTGCATGGTGTCACCCATCTGCAGCACCCGCATGGATCACACAGACAGTGACAGGCTGCTGCTTGCAATCCCTGCAGCCCCCAAACATCGCCACAACCTGCCACCAACCCTCTGCAGAGCACTCACATTGCGATAGACACGCGCGCACACGCAGCATCCCATGTCTGGCTGCGCCACGCTGGCATCCCCAGGCAGGGGCTGTCATCCCCTCCCCCAAAGCAGGGGCACACGGTGGATAGTGGTGTGGTGGGTCCCCATCCCACCAGCCCTCAGGCAGCACCCCTGGCTCCTGCTGCCACACCAAGGGCAGTGGTGAGGTGGAACATCCCTCTGGAATCCCTGTCTTGGTCCCTCCATAGGTCCTCAAGGCCAGCAGGGATGTGAGGAGGGGGCTGCGGGAAACAGACACAGCACACCCTCTGCCTGCAGACCCTAGAAACTCCCTCTGTCCATCCTGGAAGGCATTTGGGGCTGGAGATGCAGAGGGTGTAAAGTGCAGCCCCAGGAACGATCCCATTTCTTGCGCCTGGGCGGTAGGGACCATGGGCGTGGTGTCCCCAATGCTGTCCCTCTCTGCCCACACAGGTGGCCCAGGTCAGCAAGCCCGGACAGCAGTGGATGAGCGCTGGGCACTGGCCTAGCCACACGCACACATCGGCACCATGGACTTTGTCATGAAGCAAGCACTGGGCGGTGAGTGGGTGCTGTTCCCCCTCAGAGTCCCCTCTCCGGGAGTGGTGCTGGCCTGACAACCTGGGACCACAGTGGGAGGGACATGGCAGGGGGATAGAGTCACACAGAGAGCCACCGGCAGTGGGGAGCTGCTGCTGAAGCCCTCTGGGGTTCCTGTTCCCAGCACCGTCAGCAGCTGGCTGGGGAATCCTGGCTCTCCTGCCGCTAAGTGGGATTCCCCGGCAGGTCCCCTGGGTGCCGAAGGAGCTGCCGGCATCTCCTCCGGCTGACGCTGAACTAGGGCAGCGCAGCCAGCCCATGGCACTCCCCATCCCCACAGCCTCCAGAGCCTGTCTGCAGCCCACTTTGGCATCGGCGGCCCTGGGGATGTCCCAGGTTGTCCTTGTCAGGGGGGCTCCTTGCCCTGCCTGCTGCTGCAGGGCTTCAGCAGCCAGCGCTGAGCTGCAGCACCCTTGGGGACCAGCCAACGCTCTTGTGATGCCACAGGGGCCACCAAGGACATGGGAAAGATGCTGGGGGGCGAGGAGGAGAAGGACCCCGATGCGCAGAAGAAGGAGGAGGAGAGGCAGGAGGCCCTGCGCCAGCAGGAAGAGGAGCGGAAAGCCAAGCACGCCCGCATGGAAGCCGAACGGGAGAAAGTCCGGCAGCAGATCCGTGACAAGGTGGGCACATGCTTCTCCTGCACCCACCCCTGCTCCTGGCACCCGGGGTGGGGCTGGGACAGGGAGCTGGCATGGCTGGGAGGAGGGTGGCCCAAGGCAGTGGTGATGGGCACGGGCACAGTGCAGGCAGTGCCCTGTGCCTGCCCTGCTGAGGGTCTGTGTCCTCTCAGTACGGGCTGAAGAAGAAGGAGGAGAAGGAAGCAGAGGAGAAAGCTGCCCTGGAGCAGCCGTGTGAGGGCAGCCTGACGCGCCCCAAGAAGGCGATCCCAGCAGGCTGCGGGGATGAGGAGGAAGAGGAGGAGGAGAGCATCCTGGACACCGTCCTCAAGTACCTGCCGGGCCCGCTGCAGGATATGTTCAAGAAGTAACAGCACTGTCAACCCTGCCATAGGGTGCTGGGGCATGGGCGCCCTCTCCCCTACAACCCCTCCATCAGCTCCCTTGGCCCCGGAGAGGGGGTCCCCACACCCCCTCCCATCCCCTCCTGCCCTGTCCCCTGACCAGACCAAAAGCCCGCCCCGTCCCGTCCAGGCAGGGCCCCCCCCACCACGCCAAAGGGGAGCAGCCCTGGCCGGACAGGGCGAACCGGGACCAAATGCACTGATGTAACCTCGTGGTGGGCTGGGGGTACCCAGGCCCTACCGGCCTCCCCGGGGTGGCTCCTTGTGCCCCCTGCCCTGCTCCTGCCCTCCCAG